TCAAATTCTGGCTGTTTCGATCGCTTGGAAATAATTTAGGTAATATATTATTTAAAATGGACAGTATTATCACTGCCACCAATGAAAAACATAAAAGGTACCTACTGGTTATTTTTGATTGACGGCAGCGAAAAACCAAATTTTAGCGTGCAGCACACTACTACCGAGTTTGCAGAATATGGAAAACCGTTGTAAAGTGTCATCAGCAATATATTTATTTAAACACAGTTATTATGTATAAGCCTTTTACATGATTTGCGAAGTTCATATAACATTACGCTCCATATTTTAGCTTGATCACCATAACAAATAATCATGGTTTAAGATCAGAAATTTTACATTGGCATAATACTGAATAGGTCACATTACCAGCGAAAAAGGTTCGGTCTCAAAATATATATACATCCCAAGTGTTTCATCTGCTTTTGAACGTTGAGTATATTATTGTGTTATACAGAGTTACCCAGTCTCTTCAAGGTGCTATTTGATGTTCGTTATAAATTCTCAAGCTCGGATTTTTCATTTTTTTCAGTGTCAAGGAAATAAAAAAAAAATTGTTCTAATAGTAAGCCAAATACCAAACGTGATTATACATATTTGTCTAATACTGGCTTATCAAAAAGGTCTTATTTTACAGACACTTTGTACGTCAGATTTATAAAATATGCTTCGTGTTTTCGCTTCGTAATAAAAGACGCTTTGAGTGCCATCAATAATATTTTTAATTATTTAGAAGGGTCGATCTTTCAAAATATCGAGGTTCTAAGGAAAAATCCATGTACCAAGCTGGATTCAATGACTTTAAGAATAGGTAAAATTCTACACTCATCGCTTCCACAGCATAGGGCAAAGTGTTCTAAAAAATAGTATAAACCCAAATATCGAAGATACCAAGGTTTCTTGTGGGTAAACCTCGATACCGTCCGTGTTTAACTTTTGTAAATGAGCGCAACCAAAGTGCAGGATTTTCGCTTAGTCACAGTGCCTGTCAGTGATGCTCAATTTAGGGCGCATTTCGACAACCTTCTATTTTGAAGGAAATAAAATTCTGCGGGAAGTTTCAATGCTATTTTTAGAAATAGTTTACCAGAGGGTTTTGATTGGTGGAATAAAAAGAAATCCCATTCCTTGCGGTCATCCAGCGATTTATTGTAGAATAATAATTTTAGGAGTGAAAACTTCATATAGTAACTTTATGTAAATGACCATAGAATACTATGTCATTTAAAATGCCTATGACACCTAATTCAAAATTTTCAAAATTTGTCATTATCATTCTAAATAAGGTGACAAAATGAAAAGTAAATTGTTTTTATATGGTTTGAGTGATGCATCCTGGAGATATCAAGGTTTATATTTCCAATATGTTATCTCCAAAATGCAACAGCAAAACCATATAAAAATATTTTACTATTTAACTTTTTACTTTATTTAGAATCGTTGCTGAACATTTTGAGTAAGGTGTAATAGGCACATTAGATGTTCTAACGTTTCGTAAATCACCATATTTAAAACACTAGTTACGTGACTGAATATTTCAGTCCTGATAATCCCTATTTATTATTAATAAACTGGACTAAATGACTCAGCTTTAACCGAAGGACGCTCATCTTACGGTAACGAACTTGCTTTGTTTATCGTTGTTTCATGTTTCATTAATGGTTATGTCTGAATCCCATAAATAAAAATAAAGAAGAAAAAAAAGAAAAATACTCAGTTTAAGGTAACGAACTTGCTTTGTTTATCGTTATGTTTCATGTTTCATTAATTTTTTTTTTTTTTTTTAATTCTATCATGAATGAAAAAAAAAGAAAATACTCAGAAATTGAATTGCCTACACTTATCGCCGTTTCCCAGCGCTAAAGCGAAGCGCCATTGACCATCGATGATTATAAATTTTAGAATATTAATGGAGCATCTAATAAAATGAAATTATATGTTTCCCATTTAAAGAAAAGTGGCTTCAAGTGGCTTCACACTAACGTTTTTTAAAAATAATAAAATATTCGATCCACTTTAAGATTTAAAGAGTGTGACGTTATTAAATTTGTAGCTCAAAGTGCTAAACATCATACATAAATAATTTTACCAATTGCTCTTTAGTTTGATGACAGACTAATGGCTACGTTTAAGCCTTTCGTTATACGAGCATTCAGAACAGTTTGCGGTGTAATTCAATAACGCAATCAAGAAGAAGAAAATCCCCGGCTTTAGATTCATTTCGGACATGCGCAGTGCATTATTCTATCCGTTCGGATGGTATTAAAGCTCGTCCTTTTAAGAACAGACATTTGGTATGCAGACAGTTGTTAGTCAATAGCGCGGATTTCAGCTTGTCAAAATTTTTCATTTGGACTTTAACTGCCGAGTGAGGTGTTCTATACTAACTAGAACTAACCTAAAAATGGATGGACTAGAGTCACCAACACAAGAAACCAAAATGAATCCAAAAACCAAATCATCTACTTTATCTGTCATCAAAGAATTCTGTGACTACACTTCGATTCATGGCCTTGGTCGTACAGCAGGCGCAAAACATCTTCTTCAAAAATTTGTCTGGTTGTTGCTTTTCTTGGGTGCACTGGGAATGGCTGTCTTTCAGCTTAGAGAGCTTTACTTGAAGTACGAGAGCCGTCCGGTCAGTACCATTATGAAACTAACAAACAAAGCGGTAAGTGAAGACACTCCTCTGCTAACTTTTCTCTTTCTCAAAAAAGTTGCAAAGGGTTGGAATCATCATGCAATATAGGGTAACAGATTTGCTCGTCACCGAAATCTATGAATTAAGTAATACACCTATTTTTCTTTAATTGCAATGTTTGCCACAATTTCAATTCTCAATCTTATCTTTCTTTCATTTATTTGCCCCAGAGCTAAAGGCGGCATTAATTTTTACAGTTGTTACTAGGAAACAACACTGAACTCGTGAATTTGGAGGGTCTGGAATAGACAAAGGAACTTTATAAAGAAAGTAACTGTTAATGATCACAGTGTACCTTAAAAATAGGAAACGTTTGAGTGTTATATAAAGGTTTTAACGACCATCATATAGTGGGAAGGAAAACTGCAATCTTTTTATTTCTCGTATGGCAGGAAAAACCATTTCCAGAGGAACAACAATGAAATCCCAAATCGTCAGATATAAGATTTGTTTTTACATTATTGAGCATGTGTTTTGAATTTATGCCAAACGAAACCAATTGTCTCTTTGGACCCCATCAAATAATATTGTGAATTTATTTGCAATTTTTTATTCACACTCAGCTGCTGTCTTCTCGCGATAAATTGGAATTGCCACTTTATTTATCTATATTTATTTATCAAACTTACAGACAAAAAATATAGTACAGAATACAAAAATTAAAAGTTAGAAAGTACTAAGATTAAAACACTAAAAATGTGGTATTGCAGGGGTAATTTTTAGCGAGATCTAAAATGCTTTTTAAGGCCAGACTTAAATCTTGTTAAGTCGTGTACCCTCCTCAGGTCCAGCGGAAAGCTGTTCCAGATCTTTGTACCGCTGAACCTGAAGGAGTCCTGATATTTGGATTATTCCGGATCCGCAAAAGGCGGACGGAACAAATCTCTATGGCGTGAGTGACAGAAATCATTAAGTAAAGAAGGGGGGCCAGTATAGATGTATATCCATACATTTAAACACTAACATGCATTTCAGATAGTCCCGACGGGATTGGAGTGAAGGACAACTAAATATCCGCGCAACCTTTGGTTGAGAGACTTTGTATCCTTCAATAATACTGGCGGCGCGTCTATGTAGTTTATCTAAGTTATCACGATTGGTCTTGCAAAAGCTGCTTGTTAGCTATTGATGGATTGCAAGCATTCCCAAGAGAGTTAAAAGACAAAAGCATGGCGGCCATTGTGGTACCGATAAATTGACATATATGGAGAGCATCTAGCAAAAACACGAGAATGGTGACCCCGTCTTTTCATTGCAGTTTTTAAATGTCCATAACATATCTAATGTCCATGCAAAGTTTCGGGACAAAGTTATTGGAACAATATCTTTTAAGGGAATTACATTAAATGGTACCAACATGGCCGCGATGACGTAACGTGCAAACGATGAATTGTAGTGCGTCATGCAAGATCATATGAATACCCACCATATTTTTTTGTTTTTCCCCCGAATTTTGATGTGTCGTGCAGGTTATTTTCTAACAACAATAAAAGCGGCATTTGATTCTATTTTGTGCTCTAGACTCTTCGATTTCCAGAGGTTACATTCTGTAATATCAATCCACTTCATGCTTCTTTGGTACAAGAAATAACTCCTGAATTGTACAGAGAAATAATGTCGACAAAAGGTATGTAAATATTCAATCGTCCCATTTATTCAAAAATCCATCCATCCATCCATCCATCCATCCATCCATCCATCCATCCATCCATTCATTCTCTGTCTCTCTGTCTCTTCTTCATTCTCTCTCTATTTTAAAGGAACTAAATTGGGAGACTATAGCCCAAAGAAGGGAGAAACATAAAGCAATAATGATGTACAAGAATACAAATAATATTGCCCCAAGTTAATTGAGTGACAAATTTACCACGGTTAAAAATACCAAAACCTATAATCTTAGAAACAATAATGCTAACTTGAACTATCCGCCCTCATTAGATTATTTTAAGAGAAGAATTAAAACAATACATTTGAACAAAAATAAATGATTGGTATACACTTCAATTTATATTTATTTACTATATTATTTATATTATATAACTATTATTTATTTGTATACACTCAATTGAAGAATCTTTGTCGGGTTCAGAAACATAGAACATAGAAGCTGAGACCGAAATGGAACATGGGAAAGTCCATAATTATAATATAATTTATTCATTTGCGCCTTCCATGCAGTCGGTTTAGAATGCCAAATGCGTATTAAAAACAGTGAATGAAGCCACGGGTTGCCGGTCACAGCATGCATCTAATTAACGTACTTCCCATGTGCCATTTCGGTCTCAGCTTCTATGTTCTATGTTTCTGAACCCGACAACGATTCTTCAATTGAGTGTAAATCTTATAATGTATAGTATATGTAATATTATAAGTATAGATTATTTTTCAATAGTAGTCGGTATTAGGGTACAAACAATATAACCGTGAAACTTTAGTAATACTAAATACACCATTTGCTGTTCATTAACCGCAAACGAATATTCATTGAAGCGAAAAAGCATTTTCATTAGAGCGAACAGGCATACAATAAGGCGAACGGAGTCTCAATAGTGCGATAGAACGTTCATTAAGAAATTTAGCATTGAATTTGACAATCATGAATATGTTTGCGTGGGTTCATTAACGTTTTCAAACTTTCATTAGCGTTTTGAAGCAGACAATAAACCACAACACGCATTCAGTACAAAGTTTTGGACATTTATTTACGCAATACAATATAAGTATATTGTGCTTTTACGATTGTACATTTTTTAAAACGAAAAAGTGAATTTATCCTTGAATGTGTTCTCTATTTAAACATCTTGGACGATATGTTTGCATGTGGTTGTACCACTTTATGCATTTCTGTGGATCTTCATAGACCCTCAAAAGACGCTATCTGACTTCATTTGGAATTTGGTTTCTTTGTTGTGCCATTGCAATATCCAAAAAAGAGGGATTAAAAAACTCARAACTGACTTGATATTTATACCTAACGGCGCTTTGTTTGTACGAAATCATATTCACGGCTTGTAAAAAAAAAAAAAAAAATGAAAAGACAGTTAAAATCCTACAATTCCTAGTGGAAAATATACTTATATTGTATTGCGTAGATAAATGTCCAAAACGTTGTATTGAAAGTGTGTTGTGGTTTATTGACTGCACCAAAACACTAATGAAAGTTTGAAAACGTTAATGAACCCACGCAAACATATTCATGATTGTCAAATTCAATGCTAAATTTCTTAATGAAAGTTCCATCGCACTATTGAGACTCCGTTCGCCTTATTGTATGCCTGTTCGCTCTAATTAAAATGCTTCTTCGCTTCAATGAATATTCCTTTGCTTTTAATGAACAGCAAAAGGTGTAGCACAATTTCATGCTATTTCTATTGTTTTCTATTGTTTAATTAGCACTATTTTGTGCTATTTAGTAATTTAGTGTTTCGCGGATTAATTGTTTATTACACGACATAGCAGTGGTATAATTGATGGAATATCGTGGTTGAAAAAAGTGCATCATCATCATCTCTGTCTCTGTTTTTCTTTCTCTGTTTTTTTATTTTAATATATATTTTTTTCTCTTTTTCTTCTTTCTTTCCTTCTTTCTTTTCTATTCATTAGTTTGTCTGTCTGTCTGAGTGTGTCTGCCTTCGTTCCCTTTGAGAGTTAATTCATGTATGCTCTTCTATTTTATTGCAACTACAGGTGAAAATATGATCGATGATGAACCAATGTCGTGGCCATCACTCAGTGGTGACGAGGACAACGAGAACAACCAAACCTCTCCTGACACAACTTCAACTCCACCACCAACAACAAGTTCTCATCTCAACACAAGCATTGACTCAGACGAAGACCATGAGAAAGACGATTTCGAAGATCAGCCATTGCTAAGAAAGAGAAGAAGTCAGGGTGAAAGTAACGAACAGGGAAGGTTAGGGGAAGGAAATGACAATGACAGCGACGACAATGAAGATGGTGAGGACAGTAAGAGCGATGACGATAACGAAGGCAATGGAGATGATGACTATTATGATTATGATGACGTTGATGATGAGGATGATTTTCCAGTGAATCCTTCAGAACTTCTAGCAAGTCACAAAAGGCAACAACTGATTTATCAGTTTATCTCGGAAATTGGCGAAAGAGTAGGATATAAGATAGGGCACCAGTTCCACGATTCTGTTCTTGCTTGTTCCTTCAGAGGAATGGACTGCAAGTAAGCAAAGCACTCTTTCTTGCCTAGCGATGTCTTCTCTTCTTTTTCCTTTTCTTCTCAATTTGTCTTGTCCTGTTTCATCCTCTCCTCCCCCGTCTCTTCTCTTCCCTCCAACTCTATCTTCCTCTCTTATCTAGCTATTTTCCTCTTCACTCATATTGAAATCCTTGTAATAATGCGCTGTTGATTTTGTTTCAGGAAAAAGATGATCCAATATTGGGCAAAGTTTTGGCATCATAAATATGGCATTTGTTATACTTTTAATGCAAAAGCCAAATCCTTCAAGCCCTTAAAATCTAACAAAGCAGGACCATCTCACGGTAAGTAGGATGGATGGACGGACGGACGGACGGACGGACGGACGGACGGACGGATGGATGGATGGATGGATGG